GAGGGAAGAGGACTGGGGGGACTTTCTGTGAGAGGACCTTTAGCTTGTGTAATACACAAAGTTAGACAAGATGATAACCAGCCCTCCTAGCTTTAAGGCCTCTGAACCACTTCCTCTCTATCTTGTACATTCACTCTGTTCGTTTTGACCTGCGCTGGAGCTTTCCCCTCCACCTGCAGCCGTGGAGATGAGCTGGCCTGTGGTGAGGTCTGGCACCCGGGGCATCTCCTCCGTCCCCACAGGGACTCCACAAAACCTCGCTGTGGAAAGCCCCTCTAGGGCTGGGGAACCACAGCAAAGGAGGGCTCGAGACAGAGAGCCTGCTGCTACTGAAACATCCTTCCCATCTCCTCCAGATTTGATACTGCTCTCGGGCACCAGCCTTTCCCTCCCCATCCTGTGAAAGGTGAGACAAGCTTCAGGCACAAATAAACAAAACACCGTGCTGCACTTGGCTCCCGACAGCAAGGAAGTAAGATGAAGCCTCCAGCGCACGTGGCTGAGAAGCCCCTTACAAACCGGGACACATGCAGGAAGATATCTTGTCCCTGGCACCATGCCCGTGCAGTCAGCAGCGTGATGCTGGGAAGCAGCTGGAGTGAGCCTGGGGGGGCTGCGGGGGCTGTGGAGGAGCCGACGTGCACCTCCCTGTGATGGGAAGCTATGTGAAGCTCGCTGCCAGGGGGAACATAGCTCCCTAAATATATGTGGCTATCTGTTGTCCCAGCAGATGTGGAGCAAACATGCCCCGTGTGGAGTTTTTGAAGTGCCTGCCTGGGTCTGTGCCACTGGCTGCCAAGGAGGAGGTGGGGATAATTATAAGGATCCTGCCACAGGGGAATAGCTGAGAGCTCGAGTGTCTGAGTGGCCAGAGGCAGCTTAGCTGCCAGGGCTGGGTCTTGGGAAGGAGCAGGCTCAATGAATGCATGCAGCTTTCCTCTTTTGCTAGCTATGTAACACCACAGAGACATCACAAGGCTTGGGTGAAAAGCATAAAAACATCAGCCTAGCAGGGAGCAAGCTGCTAGCTAGCGATCTGTGTGAAGGAGTGTGCAGGATGGAGGTCCAGGGGGGATTTGTTTCAAGGAAAAGAGAAACCTGTGTTCATGTTATGGATAAGTGCATTGGACAGACCGATATAGCCAGACTACATCCTGTGTCTTTCTCCACTTCTGCCTCCCCGGTGCCCTTTTGGAAGATGCATCACCCTATGGCTTTGACTCATGAGCTGGCAGTGGAACGACTTTGGATTTACTGCCTCATGTCCTGAAAGAAGAGGTGGAGGCACTGACAGTGCTGGGAAAGTGGAAATAAACAATCTGTCACCCTTCTGCTCTGCGTGCCAGCAGCACATCCGTGCTCCTGCCAGGGCCACTCAGCTCTGGTTTGTGGGGAGTACAGGACCTGATCCCATGGCTTTCAGCTTCCCCAGCATCCTGCATTGGAGCCAGCCTCACTTGCCTCCTCTGATCTTCAGCACGTCCTGGGGACAACACGGTTGTGCCAAGTCTCATCCTGTGCTTGAGGCTTGGATGCTTCCAGGCAATGGGGTGCAGCATGGCTCAGCCTTCTCCTGATGTGTGCAGCCCCCAAAAAAACAGGCCTGCAGGGCCTGAGATGTCTTGAGTCCAACAAGAGATGTCTTGAGTCCAACCCCTGCTCCATGCAGGGCTGACTGCAAAGTCAGAGCTGGTTGTTCAGGGCCTTGCCCATTCACGCTTTGAAAACACATCCCGTATCTGTAAAAAAACACCAATTCATAAGCTTGAGGTGACTGGCCTTATAGATGAGACTGGCAAATGTGCGTGCAATCTTATGTGCCCAGTTGGTTGCTCATGTCTTCGGAAGCCAGGCCTGAAGCTGTTATGTCACTGCGAGCGTGTGACTTCAGAGCCACAGTCACAGCCTCGCGGGCTGGCGCTGGTGAGAGGAGCACTTGGGAGGGATGCTGCGGGGGTGAGTCAGCCCCAGCAGGCTGGGATGCAGTCCCTGGCGTGTTTCCCTGGTGCCTAACCTCTGCCTCATTTCATAATCTTTCAGGGGCAGAGGTGATGTTGTCTGAGACGGTGTTGGCAAATAGGGCACCACGTTATCGTTGCTGAGAAGATGAGATGTCTGTAGGGATTCTGGTACTGGTTGCTCTTGTGAGCACCTTGGCTCTGCCTTGATGGCTTTTCACATAGCATCACTACCCAGTTCACTGAAACCACTACCTAAATATAAATAAGACCTTTCCTGGTCAAAAAGGCACAGTGAAGTACGAGAATCACCACTGTTGTGAGACCTAGAGGAATAGCACCAGCTGAAATACTGAGCACTGCAAAAAGTTGAAGTCTATGAGAAGGCAAATTCCAGTTTACAACTGAAGTTTGTGAGGAATGTCACAGCTCCTTGCCTAAATGCAGAATTTTTCTCCTGCACACTGGGGCATGAAGGGCCTGCGTTGCCCACCATCTCCCGCAGGCCTTCTGACCGTGCTGGCTTCATCCTCCTGGCAAGTGGGCTTTGTGAGCACATCGGGTCATCTGCCAGGTGACCTCCAGAGGTCCCATCCAACCTCAACCATTCTGTGGTTGTCAAACACATGGAGAAAACAGCTTCCCCTTGCCCATGCGGCCTGGAGGTCTGCATGGGAAGGGACTCTTGCTTGTGGCCTGCCCACTGAGGGACCTGCTGACAGGCACATGGGCCGGGCACGCACCAAAGTCTGGCTGCCGGTGGCTGAATGTGAAGCACTGCCCAAACACCCACCTGATAAATGCAAGCTGGAAGTCACCCCGCGCTCGTCATGGAGGCAGGAATGCTTCTAGCCCCGTGTGCAGCTTTAATGGGTGCAGGAGGAAATACCACGCCTGTCCATAAGATGTGAACGCACCTCGAGGCCTCCTCCTTCCACCTCACTTCTGACTTCTTATCAAACGTGTGCTTATTCGTGCGTGTTACGGGAAAGGTGAAGAGATGGCTCCATGGTTAATGCTGGAGTCTTGCTGCAAAGCTGGAAAATAAACCCTAGCTGTGGTAGCAGTTGCATAAACGTGCAGAAAGGGAGCCAGCACTTCCTGAGCATTTTTATCATTATTTGGGTCGCTCCCCTTCCCTGAAATGTTGCTCTTTCGGCAAGATGAGTTATTGATGTGGTGCAGCCAAGGATGTTTTCATATTTCTGTGGGGGAGCCAACTTGACTTCAAGGGGTAACCTTGCTTGCATGAAAAGATCTTTTCTTACACGGAAAATGATTCAGGTTTCCCTGAAAATAACCCAGTGTATACATGAAAACGGTTTTTGGCTAAGTGCATGAACCAATGAAGCCTGGTTTTCTGTGCACTCTAAACCACCTCCACTGGGAACCACAGGGATGCAGCACACGTGCCCTTGCCACAGCAGGTCTGTGAGCAAGCAAGGAGCCACTCCAACCAGCCATAGCTGCACAGGGCTGGGGACAATTTCTCAGACACATCCCTGAGCCAGCATCCCTGGAGTGGATCCCTGGGTGGCTGTGCCGCTGCTGCTGCATGATGCACGCACAGCCCTTTTCCCTTGCACAGCTCCCTTTGGGGCACTCCTCCCTCCTCTCCCACCGGTCCTGCTCCAGACAAGCCCACCTTCTGCCCTGTGCCATGGTGCAGCTCAGGTGGCAGGCACTGCTGCCTGCTGTGGGAGGTGTGGGGCCGCCGCTCGTCTCCGCCCTGGTGAGTCACGGTGCCCCAGCATCAGCCAGCAGGGCTATGCCAGTGGCCAGCCTGAAACAGCGTGCGTGCAGCCCGGGACCGTAACGAGCCACTCCCAAGGTCTGTCTGGAGTTTTTGGGCGTTGCTGAGTTTTGCCGGTATGCAGAGTTTATAAAGAACTTGTTTTTCCATCGCCCAGATGATTAGCTTTGCATGGGGATAGTTTTAGAAATGCACCTTGCTGGGCTTTCCCGTAAGGAAAAGAAAGGGATGCTCTGGCTCCAAACCGTGTTTTGCTTGCTCTGCATCCCAGAGCTGTTTTTCTCCACACACTTACACTTTCCTCTGCATTTAGCATCGGTCTCACTATTCCCCCAGGAGAAAATGAAACTACACACCAGGCATTAACACAAAGGCAACCAATTTGCAAAATCCCACTGCTCAGGGCAGACCAGCCATCCCTCCAAGTGGCAGCTTTCCTACCACCCCTTTCCATTCCCTCTCCATCATCCCTCCGCCTCCATCGCTCCAATTGCACAGGGAACAAGCACTGTGGGATACACCGAGGGACACCATCTGCCTGGGATGTGATGCCAGAGAGAAATCCTGTGGCTCACCTGCAATATCACCCTCAGCTATTAGAAAGTTCTCAGTGCTGGTAGCACCACTTGGTGCTTGGCGTACCTGAACAGCTACTTGTTGGTTGTGTACCAGGCCTCGGAGGTGCTCTTTATCATGCAGCCTCATACGGTTTAAACCTGTGGATGTGACCATAAAGAGCTACTGGTTCACTCAGCCAGACCTTATCACCGATATCTGGCACCACGCTAAGTGTAATTACTTTGGACAGCCCGATCAGATATTAGTTGCATGGTGTGAAGACACATACCCGCCATACACTCAGAACAAATTTTAATTAGTGAGCCTGCCCCCACATGCAGATTCCCATGCTGAATTGTTTGGCTGAGTGGGGGGAAGACAAGGACCACATTAAACAACAACAAAATCACCATAACATTTTTCAAGCTCCATAGGAGCCTGTAATTCTTACCTTGTGGTATCTCAATAGTTGATAAGCATTTCTGTAACATCCAGCTACTGTTTTAACAATTGCAGCATTCAGGCAGCCCAGAAGGAGAGTTGTGGTCTAGGTGAGATTTTGTCAGAAACATTGTTTGTCTGTCCTTAGAGTCCCGAATGTGTCAGCAACACCCTTCACCCCACACCTCAGCACTGCAGAATGCACGTATGTACCTGGGCTGTGGCAGGGGAGGTGGAAGGATCACAGCCCCATGCTGTTTCCAAAGAGAAAAGAACAGAGTGACCATGTCTCAAGGCGCTGAGCTGGATTTATTCATTTGACCGTATCAGTATCAAACTAGAAATCATCTGTTTAAGATTGTATGTTAGATAGGAGCAGCATTAAATAATAGATGTATGAAAAAAGAGACTGTGCTTCAGAAAAGATTCAGTGTACAACATACATAGTATGCCATTTTAACACAAAACGCTTAAAAGAGAGTCATCCTAAGCATCAAAGAGTTCTATAAAAGTTTACGTTCTCATCCCATGGGATGTACAGAACTATGCAGTTCACATAGTTTTACTATCATCCAAAACATCGTGTTTCAAATGAATGAGGCACAGCGAGAACAATATAATTCCATTTCCATAGGAACATAAACACAGCTTGTCACTAAGGACACGCTTTCCAAACCATAGCGCTCACGCCAATTATACATGTGTACAAGTCTGAAGTATTAAAAAGCAAGAGTCTGGAGCTTGTCCACTGTTACCAGTAGGAAATAACATCTGCCCTACCCCTGAAAACTAGCTGAGATATCCTTGCAGCTTCTGTAACATCGAAAGCAGGTGGAGTCACTGCCGCGCACTGTCAGGACCAGCTTGCTGAGCTACTCCCAAAGCTAACAGATACACTGATGGATTCCCTCCACCCGCAGAGCAGGGGGTACAGGGAAGATGCAAAGCTGAAACATATCAGTAACTAGTGATGCTCTGACTCGAAAGAGCAGCTGAAAGAAACTAGCTCAGCTTCAGGAAGGTCCTGATTTACATTAAGAATGACCAGAGATTGGCCAGGTCTCAAAGATTGAACAAGGACTTTGTTTTGGGAAAGTTTTCACTAAGGACAGCTCAGATAGACCAGATCTTATGGCCCACGTGCTCTTTTTCTTTTTTTTCTTTTTTTTTTCTTTTTTTCTTGATGGCAATAGTTGCAAGCATATAATATCAGCTTTATGAAAGTGCAAGACCCAGCACAGGAAGATCTCCCAAGAATGGGGCGCTCCCAGCAGTGTTCTTTTTGCTGTCTTCTTGTTGGTCAACCAGCAGACGCACGAATATCATTGCTTGGCATCAGCTTATCAAAGCCCCAAAGGGTTTAGCTTAATCATCTGTGCAATTAAACACTATTCACATTTTACAGCCTACAATGGCAATAGTTTTATGTACAGATTTGAAAGTCAAGTCTTAAGATCAAGTTCTAAGAGGTAGAGGTCCATTTCTGACCTGCCGACACAAAATGTTATGGTGTCAGTCATATTCTAATGCTGGTGGTCCCCTGACAATATTGAAGTAACCAGCTAGAGCTCCGAGGTCTATGTAGAGTGATCTTTGCCTCTTTAGCAGGTCTGACTCCTCCATGCTCCCAGTACACAATGAGGAATCTGAAAAGGAAAGAGACAAAGCGTGTCACTACTGCACAAACAGCTCCACTAGTGCAGTCTCACAGTTACAGGCATTATTGGAATAATTGGCTTAGGATTTGCTTTTATTTACTCGTGCTTTAGAACTCTCAATTTTTAAAGATAATATAAAATAGATTTCATATAAAATAAAATGGAAGATACCAAAGCAGCTCGTAACTCTAGGGCAAAGGAAGGTAAGCAGCTTGCTACTGCAAACAGCAAATATGTTCATTTATTTCAAAAGCCCTCTGCCAGCTGGGACAACTAGACAGAGGTTCCTCATTCTCTGAGCCACAGTACTAAAGGAGAGGCTGGTGCAAGAAAAAATACAACACTCTAATAGTTTTCTGCCAGTTGAGAATTTCCCTTCATTACAGGGGAATTTTCACCTAAATAAATGACATCCTCTTTGTGCCACTGGGCGTAACAGTACAGAACAAACCCAGGACCATCATCCTCAGATTTTTTTTTTCTTTTAGCTCAACATCTGAAGAAATTTGCAGCTACAGAACATCCCCAGAATACTTGTGTAATGACTGTCCTGGAATCTCATGCACCTAAATTAGAGTTCCAGTTTAATGCCAAACATTCTTACAAAAAAAAATCAATTCTTATTGCCTGTAGTCAAAATATTATGCACACACAAAGTAAAATCCAGAAGGAGCAATGCCATTATAGATGTAAAGGCAGTGATTACTTTAAATGTTAAGTGGATTCACTGCAACAATTATGCACTAGAGCACCCAAAATTTTGCATAGATATTTTTTTCAAATAATTATCACAATAAAATAAAGTATTTGGGGTCACTTTTAAAATGCCGCTTCTTAGGATGATCCTAACGTGTCTTAGAAATAGAAAAGCTTTTTGAAGCCTGCTAGCAGGTTACTGATCCCCAGGCTTCCCTGGGCTTGAGTCTGAGTACACATCAAGTTGTGTTTTTTGTTTGTTTATTTTTGTTTGTTTGTTTGTTTTTAAATGGTTCACATGTTATTATTGATGTGTTAATAAAGCAATTATTAATGCACAAGGGAACTGAATTCTATCCTACCATCATTTTCGTTTTTAAAGCAGAGGGCTTGTACTTTGAACAGCATCATTGAAGTTACGGTTTTAGGTTTTATGTGTGTCTTATCTTTAAGGCGGGAAAATGTGATACTTTTTGTTGTGATTGTTGAAACTTTTTTTGTTAAAAAACAAATCAGTAGCATCAGTAAAACATCCCTAGTACTGGGACAAATCAAGTCAACTTGGCACAGCAACCTATACTCCATGAAGAACTGCCCTGAATGATTGCCACAGCTTTTTCATGAGCCAATCCTTCCAGAGCTGCAGAATGCAGGCTGAGTCCTTCCCCAGTTGAAGTCAACGGGCGTTTCACAGAACTCTTAATGAGTTCTGGGTCTGACCTCATCTGATTGGGATTTTACTGGTCTCTTTCCAGAAGCTTTTTGAGTCTAGCTTGTTTCTAAACACTTAGTCAAATCAAAGTTTGACACAAAGTAAAATCTACAAAGTGCAAGGTGAGTAAGGCTGATAGTATTTACCTGTAATGTTTTCTGGTAACTGCAGCTCCTTCCTTCCAAGTAGTCTTTTCCTTTCAAACAATGCTGAGTCCAGACTCTGGCACCGCGGCTGATCTTCTGGGGGTGGGTGTAAGGCTTCGTGTTTCAGTAACTCTGCTGCAGACAGTCTGTGGTTAGGATTCCTTTCCAGAGCTGCTCCTAGCAAATCCCTCATGGAAGTGCTGCAGTCTTCAGCAATGTCCTCTAAGGGGGGAGCTTGCTTGTGTATCTATTGGAAGAAAAAAAAGGCTGAAACAGTTATTCCAAAAACAATGGAAAAGGAAGTCACAGATAATCGCGTTAGCAGTCTAGGAATTCCCCACTTACAACTCACTAGCTTTCCAAGCTGTGCTGATCAATTAGAACAGAATATGCAAGCACACAAAATCTACCTCTTATCAGATTTTATCGTAAATCTCAAAACTCAAAGCTACTCCAAGTAAGTATAAAATCCAGTGTAATGCAAATTCATCAGACTTCTGTGCCGCAGTGGGCAAGCCACAGAATCAAATTTGCCAAGCTCTGTTTTTATCTGCAGCTTCTAAGCAAAACAAACTGGTCGGACACAGATGGGCTTGTTCCAATGAAGTTTCACGCTGTTCTAACCCTGTCCTTGCAGGAAACCCAAGGCCTGTACATTGTAACACAGACCACAGAGATGACTCCAGCTCAGCTTCTGTCTTCCCCTAAATGATCAAAACCCACTTCTTCCCTCCCTCCCCCGAAGCAAAACGGATGATATCATCTCTCTGACAAATATTTTGGTAGTCTTTATATGACTGGAGCTTTCCCAACAAGAGCACAGGAAACCCTTCGACTGAACCAGAGTTATGGCTTTTCTGAGAGCACTTACGATGTAGAGGTAGGATGGATATGCAGAGCGAGGGTATCTGCTCACCCAGGGCGGGATGCCAGTTTGCATATGAATAATGGTAGCCCCCATGCTGTAGATGTCTGCTTTTGTCGTGTGGCCTCTGCAGAGGATAACTTCAGGACTCATGTAAATCTGTGAAGAATTGTCAGAGAAGATTAATCAATAGAGGAAAGCAACAAGCAAAGACCAAGCGTGACATGCTGTTGTGTGAGACACACACACGGATCCCACTGGTACCCGCAGCCTGGAGACTGAGCACCAGCTGTGGAATAGATTTTCTGCTCTGTTACACTGAATAATACACAACTCTTTGGACAGAACTGGCAGATACACTCATTCATGTCTTCATTAGCCTTCTCTCCCCCTGTTATCCAATAACCTGCATGTTGGGGCGCTGCCCTAAGAAATGGGGCAGGTCTGAGGCTGGGCACTGGTTAAAAGCCAGGTCTCAAGTCCTGATTTCTCCCCCAAGCAGCTGTTAAGGCAAGCATCTCTCTCCCACCCCCTTTTTAACCAGGAATTCCAATCTCCTCGAAACCAAGCTGCGGTTTCCATCTGAACCCTTGACTGAAAAGTTCAGCTCTGTCAGAGCAGCAGGGGTGCTCACAGGGAAGTCCCCAGCAGCAGCAGCTGGAGGAGAAGGAGCAGGATGGGATGCGGGAGGCACTCCCTGCCCATGCTGCTGCCACGGGGAGGGGTTCAACACACACAGCTCGGTCAGCAAGCCGTCCTGTTCGCTTCTGGTTTCCACTTTTCCCTCGCCCCATTTCCCTCTGAAGGAGCCAACACGGATCTTTAATTAGTTCAAGCTGCCCTGCCACACGGCATCGCTTGAAAAGCCACAGGGGCAGGAAGTTAAATCATCACTGCCTCGTTGGACGGCTGGCTGCTGCAGACTGAGAGCGGCTGCCGTGCTCACGCAAATTCCCAGGAATACTTCCCGGTAAATCACTCACATCTGCCACCAGAGCTTTGGTTTGGAAGCACGTACAAATGTTTGGCAGATGTCTAGGGCTGCTACCGACCCCTGTCCATTGCTTTCCTCAGAGCTAGGGTAAAATAAGGCACCTGCCATGGTTAAATTTCATACAGAGCAAAGAGAAGAGTTCCCATTTTTATAAAATAAGTAATTAGTGCATACAGTGCAGTTGCAGTGAAGTCTGTAGAGACAAACAGAATTTGCCTTCTTGAGGAAAAAGGACCCTGGAAGCAGAACCAGTCTGCAGTTGCAGTGTGTGACAAAGGTCAAGATGCACCTTGACTGCGCAGGGACAAAGATGTGCACCCAAGCTGTGATCGCAAACTGATTTAGTCTGGCCTAAAGCTCGGTTGCCCCCAAAGAGGGCAGCCCAACCCCAGATTTCCCCATTCCTGCTCCTTCCCGTCACTGGGCTAGCAGCTGTCTGCCCGTCAGACACAATCCAGCTGTAACACAGTCCATTTTTTGTGCTGCCCTCATTTTAGATCAGCATTCGTGCAAACGAATCAAACCCTCAACATTCAATTAACCTCAGCAGACTTTTTTCCCCAACAATGTTTGCAGCTGAAGCCTCTGCACTTTAACAAAGCGACAGAAGCACAGCAGAAAGCCTGTCCTGCAGAGCAGCTTCACCACACCCATGGTGTAACACGCTGCATGCATCGGAGAAAGGTAGTTCAGAAAACCCAGATTTTTCACTCTATACAAGCTAAACAAAATTTAACCATTTAATCATTCTGCCCAGAATTGCAACTATTCATTTTTATAAACTCAGAGAGGATTCATACACACATTACATGAGAAATGGTGCTATAAAAGACTACAGGTGGCATTTATGGGCAACTAGATCAGGCATTGCACAAGGCTCACCATGGGCACCTACAGAACTCGTAAGCACAAAACCCCATACACAGCATTGACGATGTTCCTGCAAGTCTTCAATTGGCATTAGAACATCTCCTACCACTGCACCCTCTCCGCAGCTTTACTTGACACCTGGAGCAAAACACCAGGATGGCCACTGCCAGAAACTGGCTGCCTCTGCATCACCCTCACCTTGAGACAGCACACACCAAGCCCCTGCACGTTTCAGGGTTCATGGATTGTCTGCTTTCTGTGGACGTGGCTGTAGGCACTCAACAATGCAGAGTCTTTTTCTACTAAGTGGAAAATTACGTGATTTTCACAGTTGTTCTATCAGCACAAACTTGACCTGTCCTCCAACAGCCAAGAGTGGAACACTGCTGCTGCACAAACCTGCAAATTTCCCACCTACACACATCTCCAGGGCTTCCATCCCATTTTTTTCCTATCGTCATCCCACTATTTTTGTATTAACAGCATGTACATGCACATATATTCAAAGCATACACATTAAATGCTAAAAAATCACATTACTTCCAGTACAGTAAGCATTTAAAGCTCTTAATTCCTCTGACCAGAAAGCCAATGCGAACAAATGCTCAAGTATTTTCCCAAATATCTTGAAAATAAATAAACAAGGGTGCCATTCTGTGAAATCTTAGTTTATCCTACCCTGCCAAGGAGTGCTACGCTCTGTCAAATATATGAGTATCTCCTCCAAATACAAGCCTCTGCTGTGAAAGGCTATCAAAATGGTAAGCGCCAACAGTTAAGCTGAGGCATTTCCTGTGAACAACCTTCTCTGGCAACAGAGGACAAGCAAAGCCACAATTGCATCCGTGCTAATTACCCCTGCTTGATTGTTTGCTAAAGCTCCAGTCCTGGAAACACTGTGGCATGAGAGTACCCAAGTGGTGAGCAGGACCTCTCTGCGTGTTCAGAGTTCAAGTGCTTGAGAACATTTCGAAGGCCCCCACCTCCTTCACTGTAATGCCCAAGCATTTTACCAGATAACCATCACCCACGCAGCACATAACCCCCGTAGCGTGTAAGGACAACACACATATGGGAAACATGGCTCAGAAATGCCAGAGATCAAAACCCACAGGTTTGTCATTTCTGTGGTTTGCAAAGGAGGAGTCCAACTGCCGTGCTGAGCAGGTCACCCCAGTCCACAGCTGGTATCTCAAGAAGAAATCTTTGACAGAGCAAAAGAACCAAATTGCAGTCTGAAGTGTCTGTGACCAGCAGCCGATTTGCTCCAAACCACCCTCCCCAGAGCATTGTTCCTTTGTTTGGCTATAGTGGATCCCAGTTTCCTCCTCAACTTCACATTGAATAACCACTAAAAAGTGGGGCTGCAGATAAGGCAACAAGGCTTTCAAAATGTAACACTTGAATTTCCATTCAACAGTTCAAAATTAAAAAAAATGAGATTATCAAAAAATTAAAATCAAACATTAATTAAAAGTATTACATATATTTACCCTTGAACTCCAAATTTGAGCCTGAGCATCACAGCAATTGGAGTGATACAACAAAGAGGTTTTTGTCCCTCTAGTGCCTTACCTCTGTTCCTCTAAGGTCTTTGGGATAGTAAATGTCTTCAGTCATCTGAACACTTAAGCCAAAATCCACCAAAACAGCCTTAGTTGACATAAAGACAATGTTGCTTGCTAAAAGAAAAACAAAAAGATGGCATTTAAGGTTCTAGCATGTTGAGCGTTTATTTCACAACATGACTTTCATTTGGATGTTTGCCTGAAATTGGAGACCAGCACAACCAGTCCCAACAGCCAACAAAGTCCTTCTCCTAGCCAGAACAGGTCTGTTAGTGATTGGGACCAATTTTTAATTATATCTTAAAAAAAAAAATCAAGCTGGACTGGTTTGTGTAAAAGAAGAAAACAATGTTTTGAGCAGAGCTCCTGGCTTGCTCTGAAGACCTTTCATTGTCTCCAAAGTGAGAGCATGCTGTGCAGCTCATGCTAGGAACAACGTAACTATTGGTCACCAAGAGATTTCTTAACACTAGCAATTTAAATTAAGACAGAAATAAAGAACTCAGGCCCCGCCACAGCAGCCCCACCAGTCAGCAATATCAGCTCAATATAGCAGAAGACAGCTGCAAAAGTAAGAAAAGAGAGAATTTCAAACTCCCACTGAATTGCAGCAATATCTAGGAGCTTAATTCACTTTCCTTCATGAAACTCTGCCTAAGGCACAGCTTTGCACTCACAGGCCTTCTTTGCAGTTGTATTTCTGATCAAGTGCTTATCAAAGTAAGGCTCTGTGTAAGCCTTAAGACATTTGTATTCACTTTTTCCAAAACACAAAGTCTCCAAGTTATGCTACAGAAATACTTTTTCCCCCCACAGAAAACCATGAAGTCAGGTCATTTCCCATCTTGACAATGCCCACCATGACCACACAATGGGAAGAAACAAACTTTGACTTTGGTTATATGGATTCCTGAGGTAATCTCCCAGGTATTTGCCTACTTACAAGTGCCACGAAAGAGCACAAATTAATGTGTAACTGTAGGGATAACTTTGAAGGTACAGACTTCAAACACCACAAAAAACTGAAGCAGAAGGCAGCACTGCCATAAGGGCAGCTAATTCTTTGGGATCGCACCCCAGGCCAGATTTGGAGCTGGGACATGGGAAGAAGAGCTGGACCCTGCGGAGAAGGACAGCTTTGCTACAGCTCCTCCTCAACACACCTCCAACAACCTCATGATTTAACAGTTTCCCAATGAAGGGTTAAAATCAGCTACAGCACTGACCTACTCCTAGGAGCCAACAGAGTCCCCCTCCTTCCTGGCTCAAGGAGGCCTTTCTGGCACTACAGCCCCCACCTCCTCCTGCGTCAGCGCCACAGACTCAATAGAAGAGGAAGAAATCGGAGATGTTTGGATAACAGCCTTTTCTAATGACTCCGCCTGGCAAGGAAAACCACACACCTTGGCTTCTTCTGGGGAACCTGCCCTGCCCGACACGAGGCGTTTAGGTCAGCTTTCTGGGGCAGAGTGCACCGGGTCCCATCGGGAGTGCGGACACCTCAGGCAAAGCCTGTCCAACACCTACAGGCCATCGCCAGGAAGCCATGGTGTTCACACCCAGGGGCACCGCACATGCCTGAGCCTGAAATTTCAGAATTAGAGGGACCTAAATCCCTGCTTCTGCCAAAAATGGGGCCTCCCTGCTTCCACACACGATGCCCCTTACTCCTGTGCTGCGGCCCCCTGCCAGCTCTCCTGGTTCTGGCGGCAGACCCAGCAAGCATGAGGTGAAAAGAAACCATTTGCCCCACAGCACAGGAGACTAAGATCAGCTGAAGTGGGATTTCGTGGCTCCCACCAAACTGCCCCGGGGGTGCAAGGCCAAGGAACACCCCCACAGACTGCCCGCTCTGCTCCTTTCACATACATACCCCATAACACCCCTAAATCCTCCTAAAACACACGAAAATTAATTTTCATCCAAGCACTGACCCCTATTATCTAAAAATAAAATCCAACAAAATTTAGCAATTCTTGATAATCGCTTTCCGCTGATTAATAATCCTAACACTTCCAGTTTGAATATTTCTAATTCACAGAAAAAAAATATCTATTTTTAGCAAAAATGAATTTGCAGAGGAGATGCATCTTAATTAGAAGCACTGCTACTAGAAAGGCAGGCACATTTATCTGTCTGCAGTGGGGAGGAGTTGCTGGGAGAAATGGTATTTAATATTAAATTACATGCAATGCATTGAAGTTGAATGTCAGAACAATGTAATATTAATCTACTAATTTTATGTTTAATATCAATGCACTTTGATTATTTACATGTTAATGCCCAGAGGATTTTAAAAACAAACGTTAAAATTTCCAAGAATTGCTAAAAGAAAAAGCAGTAGAAATTATGTATTTAGTTCCAAAGTAGAATCAAACTGTGAATCAGCCCTGCACGAAGACAAAATTATTAAAAGAAGGCACAAGTGGAAGGTGGGCAAGGAAACACTCAGTAAATTTCCATGGAAAGAAGAAAACTGATTAATCCATCCTGATAATTTTGCTCTATTTCTTCAGGTTTTTATTTCCAGATTGAGTTGCTCAAGAAAGCAAAGGAACTCTGACTTGCAAACCATCCTCTTCACTAAAGTAGTAATAAATAGTGTAACTAACTTATCTTAAGAACCTGATCTTGTTATTTGTTGGGCGTCAGCCAGTTTCTCCCTCCCTGTGACGCAAGGCAGTGCACCCCAGCTCCGTACCAGGCCTTTTATCGGAGCCCCAGTCCGACCTGGAACAAAAAGCACCCGAAGGAATCACACACTTACGTTTGATATCGTGATGGATAATCCTTTTGGAGTGAAGAAAGTCAAGCCCTTTCAGGATATGCTTTGTCACCCAAATGATTTCAAATTCCCTCATAGGCCCACAGCTCTCCAGCTTTTCCATGACAGATCCTCCCTCTCCAGCTTCCATGAAGAGATGGATCGTCTCGTCCCACAGAATAGCACCGTATAATTCAGCAATGTTTTCGTGACGGAAACATGCCTGTATTTCAACATCTGATGGTTTGAACTGTTCCACTGGGACCTAGGAGATGGAAACAAAACCACATACAAGCAGCTCAAGACCCAGGGTATCTCTACAAACAGTAGTTTTCCTATAGATTGAAATGGAAGAGGGAAGCAAAGCAACCCCTGTCCACTTATTAAAATATGATTTATTCTGATTTTATTCTGATCCTGTGACTTGTTCTTCCTTTCCAGGTCAGAGGAGCACATCCTGTTCAGAACTGAGAGTTTTTGGAATTGTGCCCGAGTAAAAAGTGCAATCTTCCAGAAAAAGCAATGTAACAATTCCTGTCAAAAACTAGTGGTTACGCAAAAGCTCTAAGCAAACTTCCTGGTGAAGGAGATAAAAGTCCCACTGCTTTTTTAATTAGCTTTGCACAGACTCATCTGCTCCACGAGATCTGTACACCCATTTGACACGTGGATCAGAGCTTCTAGCAAAGAAACGCTCAGCACAGTCTGCAGACTAACAATGCTCCAGACCATTACTGACCTTGATTAAATCCTTATCAGCTTTCTTTTACGGTTTCCAAGACAGGAAATACGCTTTAAAGTGAGCACTCAGCACTATTTCTTTAAAAAGTACTGATGGCAGATTATTAAAGCAATAGGCAGTGTTTGTTTACACACAGCAAGGCTATTACCACTCTTTTTACTCTCTTTCCCTCAAACTTGCGGCTGTGAAGCAATTAACACAGTAATATTTTCTGAGAAACACTGCCTGCATTTTCAGAAGCATTAGGGAGCTTTAACCTTGCAGTGGGTTATGCAGGGCTGGCAAGTTAAATCCGTTCCCACATCAGTACACTGGCCACAAGGGAAGGACATGCAATTGCCTCCCCAGTTCTGTCACGCACAGGTGCTCATTCACAAGTGCTGAGATACAGGAGAGTGTCCCAGCTGAGCTTTTGCTGGCCCTAAACATGTACTACTCAATTCAGAATATGTTGTTGAAAGGTAAAGTCAAAAAAAAAACATTGGCTTGCAGAAAAATACAGGGGTGCTCAGCAATTGTCTTGAGACACCTCACAACGCTATGCTGAGTTAGCGTCCAAAAGGCGATGACAGTTGCGTGTAAGCTGAGCTCACAGAGACATTAATTGTACTTGACTAACAAAAACATGTGTCTGAAGGCCCCAGCTGAAGGGTGAGATCCTAGAATCAGCTGTAGCAACAGGGTTTCGCTGTCACCTTCAGCAGGGATGTGATTCCACACTGATATTCTATCTCCACGAGTGCTGCAGGACAAGCAGAAATTCTTCTGCCGCAGGGCAGCAGGCCTGCCCCCGGGGCAGCCACACAGGCTACCAGATACTTCCACAATGCTGAAACTTTTTTTTTAAGGTCTTGGGGCCAAACACCAAAAACAAATTAACACTTAAAAATGTCCATTTCTCCTGCATTGTGTAGGCCAACAAAACCCAGGCGATATTCAGCCCACCAGTGGAATCTGATGCTGACATATTTGAAAATTTACCACATGTACCATGTCACCCTGTGTTTGCTCAGAGATAAAACCACTGAACTAACATACCAGTTTGCATGCCATTCGTTTCTTGGTTTCTCTGTCTTGGGCTAAGTACACCTTCCCAAAGGCTCCCCGAGGAATAAAGTCAGAGCCAATATTTCTGTAAGTCAGCTTCCAAGGGAACAGGAGCACATCCGAGTCGATTTGATAGCGGCCATTCTTGGGGGTGATCTGTGGAGTCAAATTAAAAAAAAAAAAACACAAGCAAAACAACACTGAGGTTAAAATCACTTCAAGCCTAATTAATTTTATACATTGTGAAAAGAAAAATATCACTTGTATATGTGCACGACGCACGTGATCTGTTCAGCAGTCTTTATTTAGAAACACCAAATGGGAACAGCATGTGAGGTGTGGCATCCATTCACAGCCCAGGCATCCACGTTTCTCTCCAGTGACTAACTCACAAAGTGTAAGTTGCAATTAATTGTCTTGAAACAACAACAACAGCAGCTGGGTTAATGAAATTACCCACCTCTTGTTATTAGATTTACCTGCACATGTTTGTCCTTCCTGTAATCTGCTAACTTGTTATGCCACATACCTGTTACTCACAGGCTATCTTATATGATGTGAGCAAGAGTTTCAGCATTTCCTAATATCACATGGACTGCTAGGGGAACATATTTTAATTTTCCATCTTGTATCAGAATTTCTGCTGCTTAGTAAGCAGTTGAAGACGTCTGCCACAATCTCACCAGCCACCTTCTTGAAGTTTTATATTGTAGCTGAAAAAAAGGCTGGGAATCACAGTATGTGCTTTAGGTGGGCAATGTATAGGGCTCTGGTTTTCTACACTGTCACCAGGGCAAGGAGGGGTCCTCCAGGAAGCGGTTCAGGGCATCGAAGCCTGTTATCTCGCCCTGAATCTTCCCCTGAAAGAGCTCCCTCCCTCTGCACATGACAGAGAAACCAAAGTCCTAACTGCAGCAACATGAGTCCTGCCTTAGGTTTGGTGTCGGTTCTGAAGTCTCTTCATATTCTCTCAGCCAAAGCAGTAGTAGTCTTTCCTGTGAATATGCTTTCAATTAATTCAGGGATATACAGTTCTGCCAGCATCCACAATATGGTTAACCTGTTTACTGATAGCTAACCAAGATTCTTCAAGGCATGTAAAAGTAGATTAAGGATATTTATCACTGTGCCCGTCACATGGTCTCAATGTGCTCTGCTCGTCAGCCTTCCTTTCTAAGATAACAGCATCTTAGGAAGATTACAGGTTTTAGATTTCTTTTTAAGATGTCATGCACGTAATCTCTCCGTGCTTTAACTACTTCGGTGTTTTTGATTTAGGAAAGCATCTTCTCAACTGCTAAAACTGTCATCTGTGGCTGCTATCTAAATATATGAAATAAGTTAATTCTTAGAAGTTGTTAAATTTTGTGAGGTTAAGTTCTTAGCTGACGGGGAGAGTGCCTTATCAATAAAGGTGTTTTGGTGTTATCCTGCTTAGGATATGCAGAATGAGCCTCCAAGCTACTCATCAGGACCAAGGCAAAGACTGTACCAACCCCTGCATCTCCCCTGCATACTTCTGCATTTCACAGGGTTGAGATTCGCCAATCCATGTGGGTGACAGCTGTCCTGGTAAGCAACGCAGAGCGAGTGGAGTGCATTTGCAGAACAAAAGAGAGCAGGAAACATCACACTATTCGTATTTCAGCAGGCTTCCCTTTGGACTAGTTCCTAGCTGGGTGTTGTGGAGCGAACGCTCATTTGTGGCCATAGCCCATCATCTTCCAATTTAGTTTCAGCTGAAAGAAATCCAGCTTGTGTGCTCCGAGGCTCTCCGTGATGCAAGCCACGGTGCAGTTTGTGGCAGTCAGCAGGCAATCAGAAACACGCCTGATCCCGACTAAAATGCAGCAGGTATTTACAATGCAGATGTGCCTGTTGAAACGCATCTATAGGTAAGGCCCTGCCTCCAGTCCTCAGTTGCTCAACGAGTCACGTGCACCTAATAACACTTGGTTCATACCAATTGTATGCATCTATAGGAATAATACCCAAGCAAAACAACCCTGGGTATGTAGAACAGTGCCTACCCTAAGTATAGGAAACATTTAATACTGGTGTCATTTCAGTGTTACAGTTCAAAAAGGGACCCTTTTGCAATAGTCCTCAAAATCAGAATAAAGCATTACCCTTTGCTGCTTCACACCTAAGAAACTCATTAAGCCTCAAGCAACCATTGCTCACATGCAAAACATAGTGCATGCACGGTATTTTAGATGATAGATCTTGAACGTACTAAGAGAACAAAGCAGCAGGACAAACATGTATGAATAAACTTCCCTTTCTTGATTGATTGTCTCCAAAACAGATGATTTTTTAATAGAACTTCAATGACACCGGTATCTACACATGCTTGTAGAACACAAATCATTTCAGGAATAAAAATGGACAGAGCTGAGAACAACACACCCATGCTTGCATTCAGCAGAGTGTGATATTAGATAATAATGTAATTCTGAAAGTCGCAGTTGATACTATGTACTTTCTCTCTCATTACTACGTTTTACATTTTTGTGCAGAGAGTGAGCTCACCAGCTCTACCAAAATAGACCCTAGACCTTTATTTGGGAATTTTGCATAATGAGCTCTGTTACCACGTGAGCACAAGGCACTGGAAAACCCTCGCCATCTCCCAAACTCTCCCTGTAAGCCCTCAGAGTTGTGTTTTTTCTTAATTGTGTGTGTCTCAAGTTTGTCTTCAGCATTGGGAAATGTTTTCTGATCTCCAGGGCTACCAAGAGGCAACACAGAGTGGATCGTTCTGAGCAGCAGATCCTTCTCCATAGAGCCTGAGACTGCAGGGGCTGGATTTGATCTCCTGAGGGATTCCCTCCAGGCCTAGGCTTCCACAGGGAACAACATTCTGCCCGTGGCAATGGAGGTGATCTTTATTTAGATTCAGGAGTAACTTTGAACACCTAATACCTACTCATTTTCAAGTAAAAAGAAAAGAAACGTACCATATTCAAGAGGATTCCAGATTCTTGCTGTCTGCATCCTTTAAATTGTTTTGCAGTGTTGGACACCTGATTTGCAAAAGCAAGCAGGTCTTCCACAGTCCCATACTTGACAGAGGACATCAAAGAAACCTCCCGTTCACAAAACAGTAAAGATTCTGCACGTTCTTCATTTTGATTTGCTTCTTCACACATCGTAATTAAGCTGTCTTCATACGCTACGAGGTCTCCACCTGGATAAAGGTTTTCCATGATGTCTATCACCTCAGACATATTTAAATTAGTTAGCAACAAGTCAATTTCCTCTTTGCTATCACTACCCGTGCTCATATACTCCATTACTGTCCACTTTGCAAAACCACTCCTGAAAAAAAGAGAAACAAACAAACCTGAAGACACTTTTCTTCCAAATTTGTTTTAGCAAAGCAATAAGGAAAAGAAGTGATCAGAGTGACAGATGGCTCGTCGATATACAGTTAGATTTAAAATCATTTTGTATTAAGAAAAAAAAAATCCTCATTAGTAGACTGAGTAAAGAGGAAAAGGAGAAAAACCCTTTACTAGCAAAATTCTTCTGCAAATTATTAGTGAACCTCTCCCGTCATTCAGTCTTGGACTTTACTTTATATCAAAGCTTTTAATTAGAGGTACTGACACAGTAGGGAAGCATGGACCAGTTATATTTTGCTGGATATGCAAAAATGCAGGAGCACCCTCAATGCCTACAAAAGGATGCATTATTTGGAAATGGATGACAAAGAGGGATAGATATAAATGTACCATATTAGTTTATCCCCAAGAGTCTGTGAGCAATTTATGTGATGTGTCCAGAAAGAAAAGGTCACAGAGCAAAGCTAATAAGCATCCACTAGTAATAAGCACCTGTTAGTATCACTGTACAAAGCACAAATCAGTCACCAACTGAGATACACCACCCATTTTTTTTTATTTTTTTTTTGCAAATGACTGACCAGAACTAGACTTGAACAGAAATTTTCACCAATTTAGGAAGAAAGTCAGAAACTGAGCTAGCATAAAAGCAGTGAGTTTTTGAAGCAGTTTCCAGTGGTTTGTTCTGCCCTCACTATGTGTAACAATAACTTCTAGGATAAACCTCGACTGTTTGGCTGAAGTGGATTTCTAGCTCCAAGAAACTGGATTCAACATCCAGAGAAGTCCATTCCCATCCCAGTTTCCTAGCTTGAGCCAAAGAGAGGCATTCTGCTCAAGTGGAAAACACATAGACGTGGTCAGCCGTTAATACACATACACAAATAGTTTTCGACATGTAAATGTCTGAGAGCACTTACCTTATGTTTATCCTGGTTACATCACACAAAACCATCAAAAACGTCTCAATATAATCCCCAAAGCCGTCATGTTTCTCGAACCCGTGTTTACCACCGCCAATAATTTCACAGCGTTCTGTAGCAGTCTATTAAAAAAAGCAAAACAAATAAAGCCATGGCAGACCAGCTCAAGCAGAAGGACTGGTTTATATTCATATGATCGTTTGCTTCAGAGGCTTCACGGAAAGAAAAAGTAGTAATCACAAGGCTGAGATAACAGGGGATTTTGGGCAGAAAAAGATGACTGTGAAAAAGAATCAAGCTACTGTGTAATCATCCAGATTTCCAGGTAGTAGTGAAAAGTAAGTTTTCCATGGGCAGGTCTGGAGTTTTATCCTCGCTGCCTCATGCTTGCAGATGGAGGAAAATGAGATTTGTCTCTTCTATCAGAACACACCACACACTGAGAGCTCTCATTTCCCTTTTTCAGTAATCCACTGCAGCCAACTATTCTTAGCAAAAGATAAAAACCGGACAAGAAGATACTTACAAAAGAAAAAGAAAAGAAACGAAGCACAACCTATTTATCTCAAGGACAAGCAGCAGACTCGGTCCCCCGAGGCCATGAAGCAATGCAGCTTACCCAGGTACAGTTTCTGGTTATGATCATTATCTTTCTTACCCTCCCCACAAGGACGTGGAAGCTCTGCGGCACATATTTCTCATGGGTTAGAGAGCATTTACGTCAGCTCTAACGTTGAAGAAAAATGAGTAAAATGACGCAGCTAGCATGGCAGAGGAGTTCAGACCATGTGCTGCCAGTTCGGAAGGCAGGGCAGGAAAACTCGGCAGAGGCAGAACAGGAAAAGGCATGGGGAGTGCCTGCAGTACCTCGTGCACCTTTTCAAAGCCCTGTGGTGTTTTTGCCAGAGCAGCCCCGAGCCCTCAGCCCTGGGCAGATGGAGGTAATGTGCTTCATCTGCGTGCACCCAGCCTCTGGTCCACGTGTGGGTCCCCAGCTTTGGGGAGGCAGAGCAGGAACCCTTGTGGTCGCTAGCACTGCTTTAGCAGGGAGCACACAGACCTTGCATCTGGGGTGCTGAGAGGTCAGGGTTTTTGTCACCTACGCAAGAAGTAACAGAAGCTGTTTTCTAACCCCTAGCATCTCGCCTTCCTTTTCTACCCCCCTAATTAAAGGTTGTCCTGAAAGCCTGAAAGTGGTTACTCTTAATTATAAAGGAGAATTCTATTTTTTCCTCACAGCAGGATTTTTATTCATTGCTTTTTCGATGCTCAATTAATGGGGGTGGAGAGAAAAGAAACACCCAGTCCAGTCATAAGAGGAACTGAGGGACTGCATGTGAACAGCAAGGTCAAGTTAGAAACAAGTCTTTAGGGACTTTCAGAAGAAAAACACGAGCCTAGAGAAGCTTTAGCCCTTTGTGGATATGGACAAGTAAGCACCACGATGAAACCAACTCCCTCTTTGATGTTTTCATGCAGAAGACAACAGGGCAGTTTAGAGCAAACTGAGCTTTCCCTAAATACCAGCTCTATTCCCCCGAATGTTCCCAGACTCCAGCGTAAAACTCTTACTCTCAACAGCCTCACTACTACCCAAAAGGACCTTCTGAATAACAGGAGGTGTCTGCTCCCAGCATATCCCCAGTTCTGTGCTGTTACCGCTTGAGAAAACCTGCATGCCCGTCACTTTTCCCAAACCTAGCAAATTCGAAGGAGTAAACGTTTACATACCAAAAGCTGTGTCTAGGCTCCATGAAGCTGATTTTTTAAATTATGCAGCACTTTATGCATTATATTTCCACCACTGGCAAAAAGGCGTCAATTTACCACCAGGGAATCCGTTCTCCATTTTTCCCCCTAAAATTCTCCACTAATGCCTGTGGTGGGAACCTAATGACCCAAATTACTCTCTACAGTCCAAAATTAAGGAATTATGTCACGAGGTACGTTTTACCTATGCTCTCAGTTAAAAATCTGCTTTTACCTACAGCAGGAAAAAGAAACCCTCTAAGCAAGCACTTGGGTCAGTTGCTAAAGCACAAGACTCTTTCTCCAGTTCTGTCACTATTTCAACATCATCACATGAGCAAGCTGCAAGCCAAGATTTATTTCTCCCATTTATCGTGAACAGCGTTTCCTTAAAACCCCTTTTCTGGGAAGAGCATAGCTTTGACGTGCATGCACCACACAGTGTAAGAGTCACTGGATAGGAGCGCGGAGTCCCCTGGGATGTGTGCGTGCGTGGCAGGAGTCGACCAAAAAGCTTCAATGAAATTAAAAAGCTGTGCTGACTGCCTCCAAGCAGCGAGATATTCAAAATAAAGGTCTCCTGTGCTGCCTGTAGGGTTAATAATTTCCTGGTCGAAGTTGTGGGTGATCACCCACCGCTGATGGCAAGTGAAATGAATTAGATCAAGCCTCGGTTGCTTCTCGGGTTGTTGACAGATCAAGAAAAAACACACAATTTCAACTTCTTCATAACTTTAGATGCCCACTTGGGATAATAAATAAATAAATAGATAAATAAATAGATAAATAAATAAATAGATAAATAAATAAATAAATAAATAACACCCCACCCCCCCAAATCCTTGCTTACAGCATCACCCAGGGGGGCTCTGAGGGGGGCTCTCGGGCAGGTGCTCCCCATCCGGGGCAGCTCCCGGGGAGCCAAACCTGCCGGCTGGGAGCCCCCCGATCTCCTTCCTCCGGCCGGGTTTTGGGGTCCCGTCTCTCCCAAACCCCCCCTCCAGGCTTACCTGAGGGGCTCCGGGAGCCTCCGGGCCGCCCGTCTGCTCGCAGCCAGCGCCGGGGCCGCTCGGGCCGGGCCGGCCGGCGGCCGCGGGGAAGTCCCGGGGGCGGGCAGGGCTCAGGTAGCACCGCCCGGGCCCGGCCGGGGGCGGGGGAGCGGCAGGCACCGGCTCCGGTTTCTATTTCGTTTTACTGGAAGGAGAGAGCAAGCGCCGCCCTCACGGCCCTGGGGGGCTCGCTGAGGCTCGGGGGTGAGGGGTGAGGGGGTGGCTGTGCCGCCCCACAGCTCCCCTTGGTCGTGGGTACCCCGTGGAAGCAGCCCCAAATATCGTGGGGAGGGTGAGGGCAGGGAGCACGTCTGAGCAGCTTGGCCCTTGCATCATCCCGGAATGAAGAACCGTTTGGTGAAAGAGAAACCCGAAAGGCCACACTCCAGAAGAGCCTGCACTCTTCCTACGCGAACTCAGTTCAAGCATCATCTAAATAAAACTTCAGCGGCGAGTCTGCTGGAATTTAGGACAACAATGCGTAGGATTTGCTAGTGGCATTAGGATTAAAATGCTCCGGGTGACAGTAGCATGAGTTTGACCATTTCCAAAAAGGGGCAGGACTGCATTTTATTCCCCATCCAAAGGGCAGTAACTCTTGCAGGACTACTGTGCTGCCCAGCAGCTTCCCTTGGATTAAATTTTGGTTAAGGAGAGAAATGGGACTTCATCACCCAAAGCAGCTCCTGCAGCAGTAGCAGGTGTCGAGTTGAACCTCTGTCACGATCTCATGAGACACGAGCTGCATTTTCTGTTTATTACCTGCAAAAACTGACATTTTGCTGACTGAAGCCAATGGCAAAACTTTCCTTAAAAGGTTTCAGGACAAAGACTCTGGGTGGGTTTTGTTGTTTGAGTACGTGAAACTCCTTTACTATTTACGTTATCTAGACACGCTGACCACCTTGTTTAAAGGTTACAGGTTTACCACTTCTCTATATTCAAAACAGCACAAATGAGGTTCTGAACGCACAGGGCTTCAGACAGACTCGCCACCTGATGCCCCATTTTCCTCAGCATCACAACCCAGTGTGTGGAGAGCTGCTGGCAGGGCTGCCCCGTGCTCGCACGCTTGCTTCTCCAAAACACAGAGGTGATAAACACATCGGCAAAGCCCCGTTAAGGAACATGTATCTGCTTTGTCGAGGTTGGACTTGTTCGATTGCTCTCTTCGGCGCGTGTGCTGAGAAATGCCTGTGAATAAATGCAAAGAAGTTGAGATGACTAATGGAACTAAAACGGAGGAAGGAAACGAAGGGGTTTGAGGAAGGCAGGTTGCAGGAGGGGTAAAAGGGAGAGAGGCCAGGCCTGGGAGAGAGCAGAGCTGGCAGCAGCTTGAAGGTAGGAGGTTCAGGCTGAGTAACACATCCTTAATACACAGCAGCTCACACGCTAGGGTATTTGGGTATCCTCTTTCGGGAACATGCCTCGGTTATTAGTTTCCCTAACCCCCAAATTAATTTTAATTAAACCATTTTCCTTTTTTAGCCCAGCTTCAAAGAGCAAAGAGGAGGAGTTTCTCTCTTTCCACGCCAATGAAATTAGGAAAGCTGCGTCACAGGACTCCTGAGGAAACTCCTGTAGTTGCTACAGAGAGACGGATGAAAACATTTCTGCTCTGTGGCATGGGTATGTAGGATATTAATTAAAATTCAGTACTTTAAAAGCAATCTACTCCATCTTCTGGGTCATCCTGGGATATAAACCCAAGATAATAAAGTTATAGAAGTATCTTTCCAGCTCTATGGGAGGTGAATAAGAGCGTAGCCGACCCACCAAGTCCTGCTACCCACGCAGCACCCACACAACCCCTCATCTCCCCTCCAGATGTGCCTGAAACTTTTACATCCCTGACTGCCTTCACACACCACATGCAGCGGCGTCCAGCGTGTCCTCTCCACCCCTTATACAGGGCACCGTGACACAGACCGGGGGCACCCACCCCCGAAACTCTTTTATTTCTCCTTTTCCACCCCAAAATAATAAATAAATAAATAAATAAATAAAATAACACTAGGGCAGGCCTGCGCCCGCTAGGGGAGTGCTGAGCCTCGGCGGCTGCCGTCGGTAGGCGGTGTGAGGCGGCTGCGCGCTGCGGGCGCTGCCCCGGCCATGGCGCTGCGAGCGGGCGGGCGGGCGCTGCGCCTGCTGCCGGGCCGCCTCAGGGCGCCCGCGGCCCGCCTCGGCTCGGGGGGGGCGGCCGAGGCGCAGGAGGGTACGGGGGGGACAGGGGGGGAAGAGGCTGTGCCTCACGGGGATGGAGGGGAAGGGAGCAGGCGATCCTAGAGGGCTTTTCCAGCCGTAATGTCCTGGGGCTGTGCGTGGGGGTTGGTGGTGTAGGGCTTCAGGGGCAGCTTTATTCAGTGTGTGTGTGGGGGGGGGGGGGGGGGTCGGGCTGTGTTGTCGCAGCCTCACGAAAAAATATTTCGCTGTTTGTGTCCTTTAGCTAATGAACATGTAGCACAGTTCCCAATTTGGGTTGAATCGTTCTTGTTTTGTGGTATAAATTTAATCTTTTCTCTGTCTCGCTGTGTGATCAGCGTGCGAATGGTGCCTCAGGGTGTGTGTGAGCACCTCAGGGGGTGGCAGGGCTGGTCCCAGCACCGCTGCTGCTGCTCTGGGACTTTTTCCCATAACTGCAAAGCTCTGGCACTAGCTGGGAATGTTGTACGGGACAGGGGAAGAAGGTAATGTGGGCTGCTGCGTGTACAGCTAGGCTGCGCACAGCTGCCCTTTGGATGCATTCATTGGCGTTTGTGCAGTGCTCAGAGCCAGGAGGAGATGGCGGAGCACTGCCAGGTGCCTACAGCATCTTCTGCTGTAGTAACTAAACATGTATAGGTCAGGGGAGAAGTGTGTAGCCAGCCAGGCCTCATACAGAGAGCTGCAGGAGTGAGAAGGGCTGTGTTCATCTCTTGGCTGTGGCACCGGTCCGTGGAACCTGTCACTGCTCAAGCACCTCAGTCACTATACGCTTCTTCATCTCCCCCAGGAAAAATGTTACGCATAGAGATGGACTAGAGTTAAATTAAGAGAAAGCAGTTGTTCTGCTGAAACACTCGATTGTCGCCATGTTCTTAGTGCAAGCCAAGAACCGGTGAGGACCAGCCATTGCTGACGTGCTGTGACTTGTGTTTCTTCTGATGTAAAGTGCTGTGCACAACTAAGCAGCTGAAACAACTGCTTTGTGTAGTTTGTTTGCAAGCTTGCATGAGAAACAAAGAGATTATAAAAATACTCCTTTTAATTTAGAATAAATAGTAACAAGCTTGATAAGATTTTCTTGAGTCTACAAAATGCTACGTTTTCCTCAAAATCAAAAATATTGTACAAGGAGCTCTCTGTTGAACTTCTCTGTAGCCACAGGGAGGTAGCTGCATGCTCTCCCGCTTCCCAGTCTGGGTTATGGATGGCTGTACGAACAGGGAGCGCCTTCCAGCCTGTGGTAGTGGGATGTGGTCAGATGATTAATTTAATTACGCAGGGATGTGGTTATGATTTCAGATTTGGGCAGTGGCCCCTTTGCCTAGATGCAATCAAAAAAAACAACTTTTCAGTGTTTTTTGCCTGTTCCAGCTTGTCTTATTTCCGTGTTGATTCTGTAGGCTGTCAGCAGCAATTTACCTTGCCAGTAGTGCAGCAAGATATGACTGATCTGTGGTTAAATTGATGTGAGTTGATGCAAGGATAGTATCAAATGAAAATTTTGTGTAGGAGTTTACTGTAAAAGAAGGTGGTGACTTGTAAAAAGAAGCAAGTGCTGAATTGTTCCCCAGGTGAAAGTGCTGTTTTCGTGGTAGCAGAGAGAAAGTGAATTTTTAGGGCAGCTTGCCAAAGGTCTGGCTTTGCCTCGTATTCTTGCTGGGTACCTCGGTGTTAGACTCAATACATGTTGAGTTGTTTGTGGTGAATAGCAAATCAGAGAGGAGCAAAGATTCTTTGTATCATCAAACTTCCTGTGGCAGCAAGGAAAGTCAGTGTTGTTTTCATCCTGTATTTCCTATTCCTTGTTCTTAGAGAACATATGTGTTTGTGAGAAATAGGCACTTCTGCATGTATTTCATTCTTTCTTGTTTGCTGTTTTGCTGTGATCCTCTCGGAGAGCCAAAGCAAAACTTGTAGTTGTTCAATCCCAGAAGAGGAGCTGAAAGTCAATTTTAAATCTTTATGTAGAAAAAAAACCCCTGATGCTCATTTCTTCTTGCAGATGCTGAAGTCAATACCAGAAAGAAGACATTCACAGAGGTTCAAACGGAACGACGGGAGCAAGCGGAACGAACTGTTTTAATTAAATGCCCATCAAGAGTTAATGAAAAAAAATTACTGCAGTATTTATCCAGTCATGGAAAAATTAACAGTCACTTCTTTTTTGAAAATCGGGTAAGTTATTAACCATGTAAACTGAAATGTACACTCGGACAAAAAATAAAAGCTTTTATTTGGTCAAGGCCTCACACATGTAGGTCAAGCGTATTATGGACAATTAATATGTTAAACTAGCTTTTGTCTTTATTAATGTTTACAAGTTGCTGAGCAACAGATTTTTATTTGTAAGTTAGCTAAGCAATAGCTGTTGTAAGTGGTTCTAGCAACCTGCTTTACATTAAATCTTAAACTTTTACGTAGCACTGTAAATTATCCTAAAAATAGAGCTCACTTTTTTAATGAACATTACAGTTGTGAACGTAAATAGATTTCAGAACAGTAATGTGTAGTGCTTACTACCAAGAATAGCATGCCTTACATCTTCTTGTCCTCTTGTGAAAAAAAAAACAAAACATTTTAAAAGTCCTGAGGTACAGAAGCTGGTATTCTGCTTTGTGACTCTCTCATTAAAATGTCCCAGTGCTACCACAAATGGCTGAGTAATGTCAGTACAATAAGTTCAAGGCTTGTATGTGTTTATCTAACTCTGTCTATGTCCATTCTTATTTTTGTAGGGTATCCATGCTTTAATAGAATTTTCTGAAAAGAGCAGTGTAGCCTCATTACAAGATGTTGTTGGAATTCCAAAGGCTGTAGAGCATCATGTCGTCCCATTTAAATCTAGACTTTTTACCTTCACGCTGAAAAATCCAGTGGCTAAAACTGCTGAAGAAACACCAGTTCATCTCTCCCGTCAGTCTCACATTCCAGTGAACGAGCTTATTCAAAAACTTCATCAGGCAGACAGTGTAAGTATAGATTTCTAGAGTTTTCTCAAACAAAAATGATGTGTCCACTTAAGATTTGCAAGTGGCTGTGTGAAGCATATAAAGCAATTTATTTCTATTAAAAAAAAATCTCTGTTAGAACTTTGTGTCAGTGGTTCTCATACTTTCAAACAAATAGAGAAAATTATTTTAAATGTCAAAATCGCTTTTTTCAATATGATGTAAACCTGTTTGAAACTAATAAAGATCTTATAATTGCAATGATAGTAAGTAGAAGAAAAATATATATTAATAGAAGGTGGTCTTTGTATTTTATTACAGTATTTATTTTCTTTAATAGATAAGCAGTCAAATGTACATTCTGCTGAATGAGTATCAGCTCACCGAAGAAAATATCAAGCTCCGATTTCTGGCCTGTTCCCTGGTTCAGGATTTTGCACGTGCATATTTTCCAGACAGCACGGTAAAGCCATTTGGCTCTTCAGTGAACACCTTTGGCAAACTGGGATGCGATGTGGACATGTTTCTGGACTTCCGTGACACACAAGAGCATGCTGCAAAAATGGTAAGGTTACGCTGTGCATCTTCAGTCCTCGTTCTTCCCTGTAATAGGGAGAAAATAATTTGCTGTTTTTCCAGACTTCGTTTGTACTGTCAGGGTGGACTTCACTGTGAAGAAAACCCTCATCCTCCAAAGCTGATTGAGCAACACTTCCCAATTTTATTATTATCACTGTTTTTTCTTCTCTGGAGCTGCTGGGCTTCACCCATGCCATTTTAAAGCTTGGGTGTGATTTTTAAGGTCCTCCGTGTCCTGGTACATAATAATTCTGTGCATTTGCATTTTGGGAGGGTTGTCAGGTTCTTTTCCTCGGTTTAAAGAGCTCACTTGCTATAGAAACTTTACTACATTACTAGAGTACATACACCTGTACCTAAGATTGTGTTAAGACCTTCTGGAGTAATACTGGTGAGTAGTTGCAGGTGGCACCGTTCGTGTTTATGGTGTCCTGTCCAGCAACAATTAAATTTCTTCATAACCATGTCTTCACTGGTACCAGAATACTGAAATCTGTGCAGTAGCCAAGTGTCACGTGCTTGGTGTTGGGACTGGAGCAGCTCCCAGTTGTAATGGTTACAGTAGGTTGTGTCATGGTCCAGGTTTGTGAAGGCATAATGAATAGGAAAGGGCTAGACAAGGTCTTTTTGGAAGGCTTGTTTCTTGCTATTGGTTTTTGACTGTGGATAGTGTAAATGTCCTGTTGAACTGGAGAAGGAAATATGAAAGAAGGAGGTGAAAATCAGGACAAGAAGGGAGATTTGGATTAGAAGTGTCCTGTGGAGAAGCTGGAGTTCTTCACAGATTCTGAAAATGCCAGAATCACTTAATTACCAAAGCTGCTTTTTTATGTATGTGATAATAGTTTGGGGAAAGCTATCTTTGTTCTCCTTAAAAAGAAAGAAATAATAATTAAGAAAAAAAAGACGATGGCCTTAAGCTTTTGGAGATTGAAAATTTGCATAGCTTTTCTGTACTATTTGCATATTACCATGTATTTTATTTTTCTTTAAAATATGCCTTCAGACGTTCCTAGTTTTCAGTATTATTGCAGTGATCAAACACAATGAAAGCAGGTATGTCAGCTAAAGGATAAGATCACTGTGCCTTTGTGGGAAAGGTTAAAATCTAGGAAACCTTTGCTTTAGTTGCCTCTTGAGTTTTGAGGAAAAAACAAATACAAAACGTCTGTTTTCAAAGCATGCTTTGTAAGTAGCAGTTTTCTTTGGTATTGATGCTCTGCAGAGAGAAAATCTTTCTTTCATGTTGTGCCTTCTAAGGAAAATGCACACTCTGAAAGCAATCTTACAATAGAAGATGAAATCAGAATCATAAACCAGACCTAAGGATAAAAGGCAGTGGGTCACTGTAAATCTTAGTTTTTAAAATCATCTTACCTACATCTTAACATTTGGTTTGATCATTTTTTTTTTTTATATATGTATGCATCATTTTTTCAGTCAGACTAGCATTAACAATGGACTTGGGTTGGTAAGTGTGTGGTTTGCATGAGCACGCGGACTTCAGGGCAATGTTAATATAAATATTGAGGAAAAATGACTATACCTAAAATGAATTGCTTAATGTTTGAGAGGTGGAAAAGATGTCAAATCAATCATCCTTGTGCAGAAGTCCCGTATCAATGCTAGGAAACATGTAGTGCATTCATTTTAGAAAAAGAACAAAATTTGACCATTGACGTCCTTTGTTCTTGTATAGTGAACTTTTCATTTGTCCTTTTGAAAAACTTCTACAAATCAAGCAGGGAGGCAAGTGTAATTGCAGTTGCCCTTTTTAATAACTTTTTTCTCCTTTTGTTGAATTTTGAAGTGACAGCATGCCTAGGCATCATGCAGTATTACAGTATACTTGATAAATTCAGTTTTAATGGAGTGATTCCTGTCACTGCAGATTATTTTACATGAGGAGGGGAACAGAGATTCTCACTTGAACTTCACTGTGCTTCTAAAACAGTTCTGAAATTGAGGTGAAGGTAAAGGAGGATTTTTTAATTGACATAATGAACAACGACATTTTAATAAAAGATTAAAAGTACAGAAAACTTTAAGAAAAATACAGAAAAAAAAGTAAAATTACAGAAATTCTTCAAGCTTTTCTTACTAGTGTTTCTTTACATGTTCTTTACATGTAAGAAGATGCAAAGTCTCAACAAGATAAGGAGGAGAACTAATCCACTGTAGTCATAATATTTAGCCTCGCTAGAGACATTTCAGCCCACATCTTACTTGGGTAAATAGTTTCCCACCACCAATTTTTATTTCAGAATACTTCTTCGCCCATAATTTGCACTTGCCAGTGAGTTATGGAAGGTTCTTTGGAACTGGGCTGTATAATGTGCTTTATTCAGTCGTAGTTTAGCTGAACTGGATTCACGTAGTTGACAGGAAAACTAAAAGGAGTGTATAGAAATGGCAGCAGTTCTAGGCATGAAAAATTCTGCAGTGAGAATCAAGGTGGTCTAGTGAGTGTTACGAGATGCACCAAAGAGATGGAGTGTTCTCCCTCAGCGTGAGGACAGATAGTTGTATATGTTGTTCTTTTAAGTTGTCTTGTCATCCATTCACAGCAAGTGCTGCAAGAAAAATAATAACAAGCAAACAAAAACCAAACTAGCAGTGTGTGTCCAGAGCTATTTGCCTGTCATCGTTCCCTAAATGAACTGCGCTATTTAAAACTTCTGTTATAAACGTCAGAGAGATGTGGGAACAGGCTGGGTTACTAGAAGTGGTGAGGACTTGTGGGCAGTTGACAGACTTGCTGCGGTGGGGCTGCTGCAGCAAAGGCCAGCAGGGATGCTGTTTGCACTGCTGTCTCCCAGTTATGGGACAGGTTAAGGGGCTGCACGGCATATTTACACTCTGTGGTGCAGCGAGGCTTTTGTCCTGTATGCAGATGTCATCTTTATGTGCTAAAGATGAAGATCTCACTGGTGGTGTTGAAACTTCAGAGTGTTAAAATGCGGGCAGATCTGCTCCATCACGGTGAAAGTATACACAAAAGTAAGGTTTGTTAAAGCATTGTCTTGCAAAGGACTGTAAAAATTGTTAGTGCAACTCCTATCTTGATTCAAGCATAGCCAAAGAGTAGAGGAGAATAAGGTGGCAGCACCTAGAGAGGTTTATACTTCGTAGGGAAACAAGATGTGGGGGACCTCCCATAATAGGCGACAGCTTAATGCTTCAGAGGAAGGTAAAAATCTCATACAGGTGGCAGTGTGATTTATGGGGACAATGATACGATACTTTCCCTGGCAAACTGTGTTCCTAATAACCATAAGTTGATTGTCTTTCCTAGGATGAGCAGAGGCAGAGGAAGGTAGCGTTAGTTACAGGATGCTGCAGCAGCAGGGGGAAGGTTATCTATCTTCTGAAATACCAAATTGCTGCAGCCTTTCAGGAGGTACCAGCAGTGACAGAGGACCAGGCATTTCAGCATCTATTTACATTAAATCACACTTTTTTATCATATCTTGTGGCAAAAAAGGTCAGTGACTGTGACTTAGGTGGCAGTAAAAGTCAGAGTGTTCTTTACCAAGAGCAGATGATCAGTGCAGTGTTTACCACGGATGTGGTGTGGTTAACTTGCAAGCAGTTTGGGAGATTAGGGAATGACTTAAAACAGAGTTTTGTGATAGTTTTAGAGTAAGTTATTGTATTAAATGTTGCACTTCTTGCTTGAGGATGTGCATCAGTCTACCCCAAAGAAGTAGTTTACTTTACCTGTATCTGCTGTTTTGAGCACCATGCCACAGGGTGTGAGTATCAGTATTTTATCCTCCACAAGAGGAACCAAAGCTCCATGTGGAAGTCCAACCAATTAAGAGCATCTCCTTCATTATTACAAAAAAGTCTTCATCCAGCTTGTTAGAGATACTGAGCTGCTGCCTGGGAAGGCATGTTGTGATTTTATTTTATTTTATTTTGTTTTGCTACATAATTACAAACACCAGCACACCCAAGTGTCAGCCAATTCTCCATATTTTTCTTTCCTGTTACCTACCTTAATGTTTGTAGCTATAGGCTTCTTACACTTTGAGCTGGTCCTGCTGTAGCATGCAGCTGCATAGCCAAATGGGATTAAGGAGCACTCTCCTGGTATGCTCAAACACATGGGCTGGCTGGAGAACTGTGGGTAAGAGGAGAGCAGAAAGGGTCACCTTAGTTATCAGAGTGACACAAATACAGCTCCTGAAGTAAGTCTATGGGATGATTTGCAAGGTCCGTGATCCCAAATTGTTTCACCTGTCTTTGAGTGCCTGTTTTCTGTGCGCTAACACAGTGACAACAGGAGTAACCTCCTCTATTTATGTCTTAGAAGACTAATTAGGTCGCTGCATAATGCTTTTTGTATCATACACATTCAAACTACATTCATTACATGTTTCACAGGGGAGGATAAGTCACTGTCAGGTGTCAAATCAGCAAGCAAAATTAGTTAGGGCTTAAAAACAGACAGAGGATAAAGCAAACAGAGATTTCATGGGTATGGACTTAGTTTATTTGGGTGTTAACTGCAAATGGGACAATTAAAATATCTACAGGAAACTTAATGTCTGATCTCAGACATTATCAGTGCAGCTCCACAAATTTTTTTATTTTTTTGAAAAAACTGCATCAGGTGTGAAGCAATTATTTTAAGTTTTAAGGAAACTTACCGTCATTTTGAAGCATTAAGCGATATGCATGCTATTTTTTTTAAGCTTTTTAATTTAAAAGTGATTTTCCTTTACACTGCTACTTCGAGGATATGAAACGGAATTACTGGTGGTGGTTAGAAATTAATAGTGGTTTGGTTGTGTTTTGTCCCTTTTACTTTTTAACTTAATTGTATGCTGCTCTTTTCAGTCAGTCTGTGCTGTCTTGGGAATTCCAGAATGACTTGTTGTAGACAGCCGTGTAGTAGCATTATACCCTCATCTAAACAAATAACTTTACAGTAAGTTACTCACTATTAACCTGGAAAAAATGAATCACTGAGAAAGAAAATAAAAGAGAAAGTAATGTTTTACGGTTTGTTTTTTTTTTAAGCTCTGCAGGCTGCTTTGAATAATCATATTTTAACTCGTAATTGCTCAGACTCCTTTGCAAAGTGTTGTCTTTCAGAACTATTCTTAAATGTCTCTTTAGTTCCAGAACTATTAACTTATTAAAAAAAATCTTGTGTTAGAAAAAAGGTCCCTTTGAAATGGAGTATCAGATGAAAAGATTGCCATCAGAAAGATTAGCAACTCAGAAAATTCTTTCTGTGATCGGTGATTGCCTTGATAATTTTGGTCCCGGATGCATGAGCGTACAGAAGATACTCAATGCTCGCTGCCCACTGGTGAAATTTGCCCATCAACCAACAGGATTCCAGTGTGATCTGTCCGTGAGCAACAGGTAAGGCCTGGTTTTAAACATTTTACACAGAACACCAATGCGCTTATGTTTTGGAAACTTGTCATGAAAAACGTTTAGACTACCCAGTTCTGCGTTGTTAACAAATGTGAATGTTGGGTCTGAAAAGGATGTTTTTGACTTCCAGATCTTAGTTTTCCAATGTGGTTAAATTAAGATCTCTTTCTGCAGTATGGTAAACAATTGAAAGCTGAAACTGCAGGCCTGAAAAACACTCTATATGGTAAGTTTGGCTTGTAGGGAATTGAAAGCAGACGTGGTTCTTCTGTCACTACTTCCCTTCAGGTATGTGGGTGCACAGCTTGTTTTGATTGCTTCAGGTTAAGCATCATGCTAATTTTCATTATTGTCTTTCAGCTGCTTTGTGGTCATTAGACTCCTAGTTATTTTTGGGTCTTTTTTTTTTTCCTTCTTGCTTCTTAAGGGCCTGTGTCCACCTGTTTGCTGGCAAAGTATCTGGAATGATAAATCAGCCCACTGCTTCAGAAAACAGCCTGAAATGTTACTGTCAGGGCCTTTCGCAGTAGTGCCCAACAGAGGGAGCAGCCTTCTTAGAAATATTTCCCTTTGCATCTTTTCCTCCTCTTCCAGCTTGCTTTCACTTTTTTAGGTTACCAGTGGGTGATAGTCAAGCATATAGTTTGTTTTGCTGTCACTTAGTTTGTAATACATAAATCAGTGTACACGTGTAGCACTGGCGTGAAGTACATAATTGAAAAAAAGTATGTAACTCTTTTTATTAGTGCTAGGGAAAGGTGATGAGTGATCATCTTTCAAAATACTTCTGATATGACTTACAGATTCAATGCTAGTATAAATGTTGTGATTTGTCTAGCACCTGATCACATCTGATGTAGACTGAATTTTCTGAATTACCCAAAGGTTTGTTTCAGAATATGCAGGAATTGTTAGGACAGTATTGAGCAAATGTCTTACAATAACTCTGCTCGCAAATGTGCAGCCACAGTGAGAGGCAGCATGCAGTTCTGTGCAAACTTTGTAATTCCCTGCCAAAGGTTTGGTTGGTTGAGATTGTGTGTGTCTTGTTATTGTGGAGAAATAACAAAAATCTTACAGACACAAGGAAGCATTTCACAGCTGAAATCTTAGAAGTCCAGGTATTACAAAACTTCAATATGGCAAACTTCCGCAAAATGCTTTGCTGGGTTTTTAGAGGAATTCGGTGTAAGACTGGGAGTAAAAATTCCTGCAACAGTAGTTCAACAAGCAATTTAAACTAAATTTGACCCCAAATTAAGTCTTGCTCTCACATCCTGCTTCCATTTTTTTCCCTGCTTTTCACTGCCTTCCCATTCATAGACTGCGAGAGTGTTTGTACAACCATGTGATGAAACGGATCAAAGCTGATTCATCTGAAAGCCTTTATCCTTCCAGATTAGTTGTTTTGCAGCAGGACCTGGATTGGGGTAGTTATTACAAACAACTACCAGCGTGGTGGATGTGGCAGTGTGGGAATGAGAGCAAGCACCTGGAAGCGAAGCTGCTGCTTTCAGCTGCAGTTTTTGCTTGTTTGTTTAAAGAACTTGCTGAAGAACAACTTCAGATTCATTCTGATCACGTTAATAATGTTTTCAACATTTTTATGGCTTAAAATTCATAAGTTCATTTTGTGCTGTCAAAAACTTAAGGATATAAAGCTTCAAATGTTGGTCGTTTGAAAATTACCAAACGGATCAGTCTTTACAATAAGACTGTAAAAGAATTTATAGTTGGTATAGAATATATTAGAATAGACATATTATCTAAAGCATTCCAAAGGCAATTGTGGCTAAGTTCTATATGGTTTTGGCCTTGATCCTGTATAGTTTAACTCCAAGTATGTGATGGTTTTTTTGGGTTTTCTTCTTCATTATGATGTGGAACAAGGAAACAGGAAACAGCACAAGTGTAATATTACTACTTAGCCTAAACTGTACTCTTCTTATAGGAAGTTATTGGATATTTAATCCTGGACGATTTCAGACATTCTTTTCTATTCTTTAATGGATAAAAGTGGTTTTTATTGCTCTTTTGTTTGATTGTTGTTGTTTAATAGATATCATCTTCCCTTATAACTGGTAATCTAGGGCAGAGCAGCCAGCACTGCAACTGGTACTTCCCATTCTCTTCTTATTTACCTCTCGTACCTTTTCTTTTCTTCCTCAGTATTGCTATCAGAAGTTCAGAACTCCTGTACATCTATGGCACTCTTGATCCCCGTGTGAGAGCCCTGGTGTTCAGTTTGCGATGTTGGGCCCGTGTTCATGGACTTACCAATAGCATTCCTGGTACCTGGATTACAAACTTCTCTCTGACCATGATGGTCATGTTTTTTCTGCAAAAGAGATCACCACCTATCATTCCAACACTAGACCAGCTTAAAGAACTGGCAGGTAAGGGTAGCTGTTTATCAAAGAGGTTGGAGTGACTTTCACATTTATTTTAACTTCCGTAAAGCTATGAATAAACCCAAGCCATTTCTGTATGCTCTCAAACACCAATGTATGTTTTCTGTGCCTTAAGTTTGAAGGAACACCCAAGTTTCACTTGTGTTTTTTGTGAAAATAATGCATCTTAAAACAGATTTAGTTTTGCATTTCTAGTGCAATGCTAAATTCTGCTTACAGGGGTTAGGCTTGTTCTATGCCTCAGACAACTAGAAGTGATTTATTTGCCCAGGGCTCCCACGCTGCCTGTTTATTGTTTATTTTGTTTTGCAGCAGACCTGTGAGATCTCATGTCTCTGCAGTTTTTAAGGATTTGGTGCAGATTGATGCGATGTCTGTTGTTTTATAGACACCAGATGTATCTATATTACTTTTTTCTCACAATTTGTAATATCCTTGAGACTGTTGGTGTTCTGGCTATTTCATACGTAGCTTTCAGGATGTGTTATCTTCAGTAAATTGAATGAAAGCTTGGAGAATGACATCCCAGATTCTTGACTCCTCGCTTATTTCTTCTGCTTATTGACATGCTTCCTTGGAAGCTTTGAGTAGAGAAAAAGGTCTGTGTTCTGTTGTTGGAAAATCAGGTTAAATGTTTCCATCAGCAGTTACCAACAAGTTCTCAAAATAAACCCGGAATTTTTATACTCAGAATGAAACATGTCATAGGAATATGCTTGTAGAAATGTCAATACCATTACAGAAAAAGGGGTGTGGAGGTTTTGGGTGTGATTAATGATGCCCTATAATAACTATTAACCTCAGAAATTTGTGCTGTTTCGTGTATTATAAAGCTCTGTATCCAGAGGTATCAGGTTTGTTACTTAACTTTGGAGATATAAAGGTGTCATATACCATTTTCCTGGATGTTTTTGAAAATACGCCATCTACTCATGCTTCCTCTCCTTTGCTTGTCAAAAAAAATATTTTTCTTTTAAGTCTTTAATGTTAAGATTCAACTTAAATAGCTAAAACATGCTTGTGAACTTCTCATTTGCTGTGCTTTCATTGAATTCAGTCATGTCTCATATTTGAATCTGATTACATACAATGGCATTTTATTGTTTATCACTTCAGAATACTCTTGCAATCTATGTTTCAGATGAAAAAGACAAGCATATAATTGGAGGATATGATTGCTCATTTGTTAGCGATTTAAGCAAGATTAACCCTACAAAAAATACAGAAACACTTGGTAGGTAAATCTTCATTAATTTCCCTTTTTCTGTGTGTTGAAAATAAGTTTTTCCTTAACGTTACTGTTGGCTCCTGGTTTTCTTTCCCTTAGATGAGCTGCTCTGTGACTTCTTCGAGTATTTTGGAAACTTTGACTTCAGGAAGAATTCCTTAAATCTTCGACGGGTAAGTGAATTTGAATCTCTCATCATTATTGGTTGAATTTCTGTGACAGATAATGTGTGATCATTCTCTGCTTGCCAAGAGGGCTGCACTGTCACTTTGGTTGTTACATATCAGTCATGTTATTCGCTGGTGTGTGTGTGTGTGTGTGCAAGTGTAATGGACATGCATATATGTAAGTACCTTAACTAGCACTTGTTTTTGATGGACTGCTTAGAGGAGGAGGGATTTCAGTGCAACACTTTCTGGCATAAAAGGTCTTTTGCCAGTACAGGCTGATCCTAGAAACTAATTAATTAAGCTGGGTAAATTTTGTTTGCCATTAAGGCTTAAGAAATGAGCAAAAGCCCCCACATGCCATAGCCTGACCTGGACAAGGGAAATGTCTGTGCTGCTGCTGTTTTTTTCTTTAACTAGTCCTGGCCCTGGGGCCAAGGGTATGATGTATCAGTATGTAGACTCTTCCTGGAAGAGGATTAGCTGGTAGGTTCCTCCTAGAGCTTGCAGAGGTTCTGTAATGCAGAGCCAGTTAGCTAGGGAGCACTGATAAGCACTGTGATGGGAAGTGCATTTAAGTAGCAAACTATGTAGTTGTCAACAGCTTGCATTGTACTACAGCGAGTGCACAAAAGTGGACTGTGACCCAAATAGCTCTCTACTTAAAAACCAAACTGAAATGGGGGGGAATTTCAGCCAAGGCAGCAGTCTTGCTTTGTTATAGTAGCTCTTAGTGAGCACTGTGAGGGGAATGGTTTGAACAGATTAAGTGCTTGGAGTAGTTTATCAGCCTGGGCTGTGCACGTTAATATGACAGACTCGTGCTGCCCGTACACAAATGGAGAGAGGAGCAGATTGCAGCGAGTGAGGTTTGAGGTTTGTGGAAAAGCAAATGGGAGGGTGGCCAAAAAGGCAGGGTAAGTTGTTGTACGTTCTTTGCCTTGAAGGAAATCTAAGCTCTATGTGGCAAGGAAAACAACCACTAAGAGGATTTAGAGAATAGAGTCGTACAGTTAGATTGACAGGAAAATTAACTTGATTAATAATGACTTTTTTTTCCCCAAAAAAGTTCTCTACTAGGACAGAATACTCTTAACGCTGATGTGATCACTCAAGTGATTTGGTACTTGCTCAGCATATAATGCCTACGTGCAACTTTGTGTGTTTTTTTCCTTTACACTATCTGCAGGGAAAGGAAGTAAATAAACCTGAGTCGTCTCCTCTTTATATCTGGAATCCCTTTGAACAAGACCTTAATATCAGCAAGAATGTTAATCAGCCACAGCTGGAGAAATTTGTAGCTATGGCCCGAGAAAGTGCCTGGATTTTACAGAAGGAAGATAGAACTCAGCGAATGATCAATAAAGAGCCCTGGGGACTGGCAGCCCTACTAATACCATTTGGAAAAAGTAATACAAACAAGATGAGAAGGACAAAGGGAATGGGAAGTGAAACAATCAGAAGCCTTTTAGACTCCTTAAAGTTAAGTAATGCAAGCAACCTACAAAAAGCAGTGGGAAAGTGACTTTCGGCACAAAACCAACGTAGCTGCTATTCTGTTCTAGGAATTAAATGTGATACGGTCTGAAGAACATTACTTTTAATATTTCTACTATGGTGAAATGGAGAGTCAGGTAACCTGGTTTTCATTGTGATGGTTCTTTGTACAGGTCTGCTTTCCTGCTGTACATTACCTCCTCCTTACTCTTCACTTTTCCATCTGTTTTATGAATGAAGAACATTAAAAGGCAAGTTTTACAGATATATTTTGGAAATATCCTTCACTCTTTAAAAAAAGAAAAAAACTGACAAAAGCAGCAAGGGCAAAAGCCCTCGGGAATTCTCGTGGTTAACATCCAAATGATGCGTTAAGGAAAAGCTCAAGAAGCAAACCACCTTCCAGTGAAACCACATGTTAAAAGAAGACAAATATTAGAGTCATTGCTTCCACTGCAACCACATTCTGGGAGCCAGTAAAACCCAAGTGCGTGCATCTATTTTTGTAATTGGTTTTGATTCATGTAGATAGTGCCGAGACAAAAATAAAGAGAATGGAATTAGGTAGGAGGGCTTGCAGCTTCATACTGGATTGCTCTCCAAGAATAGCACACCTGTTTTGCGTTGGAAATTTGGGTTTGCTCTCGTGTTTACCACCTGTTCTCAAACTTCTTCAGTCTATTCTTTATCTTTTGTACCCATAGGACTGGTTCTCACTGATATGCACTCATGTTTCTCCTTTTGCCTTCAGCTTCACTTTAAGCCTGTATTTCAGGTTCCAGTAGGAGTTTTTTTCTTGCCTAATCACTCCCCTCAAAGTTGCTGCCTGCTAGGCAACACCAAAGCCTTCCTCTCATGATCTCTGCATCTCTCTGCTCTTTACAGAGGTCCACAGGGAATCCCATAATGTGTTTTGAGTCCTGTCCCCAGTCTTGCCTTATTTTTCAGATATTCAGCAGAGTGCTGACTGTCCCTCTTCCAGATCAGCTAAACCAGTGAGGAATGTTTATTGTTGGCTTAAAGAAAGAATTGAGTTCTCTATGCTTTCACCATAAAATAGTGTTTTAGAGGAAGATGGAGGGGGTGGAAGGAAGGAGGACAGAAAGAAATGGGGAGAGAGCAGTCAAATGTCAAATTTTTTCCAGGGGGGTTTGTGAGTATTCTACCTGTCCAGTTTGAGAGCCACTCGTGCATTAAAATTAAATGGCAGGCATGATGAGAACAACTTACAGACTACTGTTTGTTAAACAACATCTTTTAAGAGCAATCTTTAAAGAAATTCTGTGCAAGAGATGACTGTAACTTGGACATTATCACACCGATGCAATATTGAAAAAGAAACAGTACTCATAGACATCAATATTTTTAGATTCTTTAATTCACTAGTGGTACATGATTTTGTGTGGACTTTCTGTTGGAATAGTCTGACCTAGTATGTTGGTATTAGCAGTTGAAGAGTGTGTGTTCTCTTTTCCTGGAGGTATATTTGTCAGAAATAATTTGTGCAGTAACAAGTAATTCCAAAGTATTTGTAAAATACCACTGGGCAGGGAGAAGCACTGTTCACAGTTAGCAATCTGATCAATTAGACCTTGAGTGGCATGAAGACCCCCTTACAGATCAATGTGATGCTAATTTATTTGTACTTTAAAATAATATTCATGTGCATCCATTTCATGTTCATAAACATTTTATCACATGCCTTTAAACAGTTTTTATCTTAGTCACAGGAATCAATTCTCATATTAACTGCTTTGAGCACTGATGTTCAAACTTCGCTTTCTACTTAAATCCCTGTACTTCTGCGTGAACTTCTCAGAGGCTGGAAAGAAGTTTGGTGTAACTTGTTACTGGTGCTAACAAAACCTTTTGGTATCAAGCTTGGCACGGGCGTGGTGAGCAGTCTGTTGCTACCTTGATCCTTAGAGAACCCAAATAAATTTTCTCCTGTTTCCTGAACAGACTTTGAAGCTGTTGAAGATTAGGGTGGTACCTGAGTACTTGCAAGTTTCCTTTTTCCCAGCCAAACAAAACGGGTACCACAGGGATCTCCACATAGGGATGGTGTGGTGGAGAGCCTCCGGGGGAGGATTAAGGGAAAGAACAGCAAAGCAGATGTTGCAGTGGGTGTCTGCTATTGATCACCTGCCCAGGGTGGTAGCAGAGAGGAGTTATTCCACAGGCAATGAGGAGAAATCCTCAACTCAGAATGAGGAAAAGGTACAGGTACACACTGGGAGACGAGTGGCTGGGGAGCAGCTCTGCAGAAGGCCCTGGGGGTGCTGGTTGGCAGCAGCGTGCCCTGGCAGCCAAGTTGGCCAGCAGCATTTTGCAGACAGTGTAGCCAGCCTGCCAAAAGAGGTGTTTTTCCTGCTATATTTAATGCTGGCACAGCCTCATCTTGAATATTGTGTGCTGTTCAGGGCTCCACAATATAACGAGGATGTTAAGGTGCTGGAAGGCATCCACAGGAGGGCAACAAGGCTGGGGAAAGGGCCAGGAGGCTTCGTTCTCATGTAGCTAAGAAAGACTTGAAGGATTTTAACACCCAGACACAGGATGCTTATACCCAAATGCTTATACCCAATAAACTTCGCAATTTGCTTACTCAGCCCCAAAATTGGGACTTTAGGAGGTACCAGATGCCCTGTTCCTCTGCCTCAGTTTCAAAACTACAGTTCCTGCAGGGTTCTGTCCTTTGGACTTCAGATCCCTGCATAATTCAGGGTGGAGGAGACCTTTGGATTGTCACCCTTCCTTCGAGCTCTTTGAGGAGCTCGTGTCCACCCATCACCACGTGAGCTCTCCCCCCATGTCTGCCATGCCCACAGTGCCATGGTAGCAGCACCAGAGCTCTGGTTCCTGCTGCTTGTCCCCCAGGCTGCACACCTTGCCACCCACACATTTGAGGTGCGATCTGTTCTTTCGTATCAAGTCTCTCTCGTTCCCATCACCCTACATCCTTTCTCTCAATCACTCTCCACCCCTGCCTCGCTTAATTGCAGGTTATAGCTGTGAGAAAGCACCGAGTGATGTTAGAAACCTAAGAGACTGTTAGAAAAACACTCGTCGCCTCCCCAGCTGGTTTGTCACCCTGCCACGTAAGAAGAAATCACCTACACAGTTCTGTTCTCACCTCAGTGCTGCCTTCCTACTGATCTCACTCCCTCGCCCTTCAGACGTGCTTCTCATCCTCATTTCCTTAACAGGCCCTTTCCATCTCACTTCCCGAGTGGAATTGTGCTGCCACAGAATTGCAGGCTCGTTTTTCCTCTGTGGATAACCTCGTTCCCTCTCCTCTCTTTACCACAGCCAGCGGTGTGGCAAAGCCCAGGGGTTGGCTGAGCTGTGTCCCTCCTCCTTGCTAAAGCTGGAGACCTGTTGAAGTATCCAAAGGTATCCGACTGTCTGTATCACACATTATCAGTCAACAGCTTTGCCTTTTATAAGGTGTTTGGGTTTACCCTTTAAAACTTTCAAATATTTTTATTGTTTTTATCATCTTTTGTACACGTGAGCTTACTGCGATCAGAGAGAAGTGGCAAAAGCCAAGACCACAAGCCAGCTTTGGGTGTTTTATTGCCAGCTCCTCCTGGGGTGCCCTTGCTTGTATTATGAAATCTTTTCTTTGTTTTGCTCCAAGTTCTGCTTTTCTTTAAGATAGTGTTAAAATGCAGCCATCCCCAACCAGGGAAATCAGAGCCCTTGCTAAAATAAGCACTTATATTTTGGAGAGTCTGTCCTGGATCTGGTCATTTATTTAAGACTGATCAAATATTGGAAGTATCTTGACCGTTTGCTGAGCTGTCGTGGCTTGAAACTGCAACAGGGGAGGGTCAGGCTGGGGGTTAGGGAAAGGGTCTGCACCCAGAGGGTGGTCGGGCACTGGGACAGGATCCTCAGGACAGTGGTGACAGCACCGAGCTGCTGGGGTTCAAGAAGAGTTTGGACAACGCTCTCAGACACAGGGTCTGGTTTTGGGTGGTCCTGTGTGGAGCCAGGAGTTGGACTCAATGATCCTCGTGGGTCCCTTCCAACTCGGGATATTCTGTGATTCCACCTTATTGTTCGTAGCTGGAAGCTGTTCTCACCAGTGCAGCCTGGAAACACCCAGCCAATACTCTCATCCTGCTGCAGAAGTTCCCTTGACATTTAAATCCTGCCTAAAAATGACTTTCTGAAAGGATCTGTAGGAAAATAAAAGGCTGTGAATACAGGGTTGACATGACAGCAGAAGTCTGTGCCTCTGCAGGGCAGCTTGGTGCACACGCCTGAGCTGGTCTCAGCTGCAGAGCTGCACAGCACCTGCAGAGACATGAATTCAGGTGTAAATGCAGGATTTCACCCCAGTTCTGCTGCACCACAGAGCTTGCCAGCTTGGATGCGGCGTGTGGCTGCTGCTTCACTTCTCCTGGCTGCAGGGGAGCTGCACTGGGTGCTCACGCAGGATCGGTGGCTGACGAGGAGCTGTCTTCCTAGCAGGGCATGGCTTCCTCCCTGCAACTTTTATTTCTAAATTCAGTTTAATTTATACTCTCTTGGGGGTACAGGCTATGTTTTATTTGACACGATTCTGTGCCTTTGGAACAGAAAAGATGGATAAAAAAATAATCTCCGTTTCAATAATTTTGCCAAGAAGCTAGTTAAAGGTCTGCGCTGGGTTCAGCTGAAGCAAGTTTAGGATTTCCAGCCTGAGCTGCTTTTGAAATCTGATGAATCAACAGTTCGGGAGTTTCAACAGTGAAATCATCCCGCTCGCCGGAAAACTTGCTGCTCCCAAGGCTTTGTCTTGCTTATCACAAAGTTACCACCAAGGCTCTCTTCTAGTACAAGATTATCCTAAACTTCATGGGCGATTTGGGGTTAGACAAGCAAGGATTAGGATTTACACAAGGCTAACCTGTGCCAGGAGATAAAATCATGGTCTCCAGAAGTTACCTTCCTTGCCGCTCTGAAATGAAAAGATGGAGCCTAGTTCTCCACATCTAGCAGGCAGCTTGATTGATGCCACTATAAAAATCCTTAATTATATGTGACTTATTTTTTTTAAACACTTTAACTATCTCCTCAAGTGCTTAGTGTCCCTGTTGGAAAACACTGCTCTGCCATGTTCCCTCTACAAGATGGGCTTGCTGCAGGTACACGTGTTTCTCCTCACTTGTTCTTTTTGGACTCTCTCTGTTCAGTGCTATTGATCTCAAATATTTCCCTTCCCTCCTACTTCTCTTTCTCCTGGCCATTCTCTTTTCATCATATCTAGTCTGATCTGATCAATAAGCAGCAGTTTTTCCATTTGGTCCTTAGTATTTGTGGACCAGCAGTGAAGAGAGCTGCATTCAATCAAAGTGGGGTGGTTTTTAAAGTGTGGCACTGGCATTGCAGTGCGACTTTCTACAGCTTCGTTTCCTGTGCAGACTGAGTTTCCATCCTGCCTTTTCCATGGTCCACGGAGAGATTAATTAGCTGGACTCGATGGGCCTCGCCTACACAAAGCATGCGCTTTCAAGAAGCATTTCCATTTAAGATGTTCATTTAACACTGCCTGTGGTATTAGAAAACAGAAGTTTCACGCAAACTTTCTGAGATACTTTGCCCTTTAAAAAGATTTCTGTT